TCTTTATATATATATATATATATATATATATATATATATATATATATAAAGAGAGAGAGAATTTAAAAAGTCATTAACTATTGATATGCATATATATGTGTGTATGTGAATATTAATATTTCGTAATACACATTTTATATATTTTTTTGTATTGGCTAAACATTTGAGCATATCAATATACATATTAAATGGAAAGGCATTTTTAATTCTGTGATACTCATACAGTATTTCTGCAGTAAGCTGGTCTTTTTCTTGTGTGACTTGATGTGGATGTGAAGTACATAGTGGTCACTTCCTGTTCTGTTTTTGTGCTGCAGGTGGGCGATGACCCTCGGCATGCTGGCCCCGCTGTACTGCCACGCCCCTCAAACACCTTCACAGCCAGTCGCAACCTAAAAAATATTAATAAATATTAACAAACACAAACTTTAGAAAAGTAGTGTAGATCATAACAAACCTTTATTTAACCTAGAATAAAATAGAGAAGAATAGCGTGGGACAGTAACCAAATATGCTAATGAAAATATTTTTAGTTTTAGTTTTCAGTTTCACATAATTCTTTACATCATAAAATATTCTCACCATGTTTCTCATTAGGGAATCTGATCTTCTGTCACGCCGTGTGGAGAACACATCGCCCTCTCAGGCCTCTTTAGATATGCTGATTAATCTCGTAGCGTCGGCTTCCGGTGTGTCCCAGCATGTGTCCCTGTCATTTTCACATCAGTCCACCCCCAGTCCCCTGTGTGAGTGTGTTTGTCAGTGGGCCATATGTGGATGCATGTAAACATATTGTGTCTAAATATTATTCCACTAATCTTTAAATCCTCTGTTATCATAACATAAAAATGCAAATTAACCCACTTAATTAAAAAAAGTCCCCCTCCCAGTATTTACAGGAAAATGACGCAGCTAGTGTCGCAGCTTGATACATTTCTTAATATATAGATTCCCATCTTTCCTTGTATGCTATTATTTATTTATTTGTATACATTTAAATTACAAAAATATAAAATAATAAATATTAATATGCTTAATATTGTGATACTCATACAGTATTTCTGCAGTAAGCTGGTCTTTTTCTTGTGTGACTTGATGTGGATGTGAAGTACATAGTGGTCACTTCCTGTTCTGTTTTTGTGCTGCAGGTGGGCGATGACCCTCGGCATGCTGGCCCCGCTGTACTGCCACGCCCCTCAAACACCTTCACAGCCAGTCGCAACCAGTGTCAAGATTTAGTTCCTGTTGGTGAGTTATTTCAAGTCAAGCTTCATCAGAAAGCTTTTAGACAGAATTTGATTTATTCATCTTGTTAAATCGGTCATAATGCATTGTTTTATAAAAATGCTGTCACAAAAGAGTTATGACTTTTGAAGAGTCTTCATTTGACATTTCACCAATTGCTTTGTTCCTCTCTTTATAGCCTATAATGATAAAATAGTGACATTTTTGCGGCAGCCGAACATATTTGAGATCCTTCAGGAGAGGCAGCCTGAGCTCATTAGGAATCACTCACTCAGGTGAGATTCACAGAATTCTGACAAAGCAAACCTCAGTCCTGAGCTACTGATTACGAAATGTTGACTTTTCTAATCCACAGGGAGAAGGTGCAGTTTATTCGTAATGAAGGAGTGTCAGGTTTAGCTCGCCTCTCCAGCGATGCAGACTTGGTGATTTTGCTCAGGTACTTTTCCAATGATTTCTCTGAATTTTACCCTGCAAAAAATGGCTGTAAGAAAATATGAAATAACAATTTTTACCAAAAAAACTGCCATACATTCTCTAAAATCAAATCTTCAAATTAAAGCTGCAGTCCGTAACTTTTTTTTGGTTAAAAATGATCCGAAATCAATATTTGAGCAAGTACATAACCAGCCAGTGTTCAAAACTATCGCCTTACTT